AGAAAACAAGTAAGAGGTTCTAGTCGGGAGCTCCCGACTAGGGGATACCCTGAACCTTCTTATTCCACACCAAATAAATTAATAAAAAAAAGTTCCCTTGGCAGGGCTCGACTCTACTCAACAGCCACACCAGCAAAAAAAAAATAAAATATTACTTTCCCCGGTAGGGCTCGAACTCGCGACAGATCGCACCACTTATGATAAAAAAAGGAACTAAAATAACATTACAAATAAAAGATGCAATTACCATGCTGTTAGAATGCGAAGCAGACGCCCAAGAATGTATGTGTGTACATGTATACAGAAATTCTTAAAGCTGCTGCCCCATTCAATTGCGCAGTTGCATATAACTTTGGTTTTTCTTAACCGATCTTTATGAAATTTTCTACAGTATATCTTATTGTACCATAAAATATTTGTGTATTCTGAAAAAGTCAATTGCATTTAAATTGTGGTTTAAATTAGTTGGCAATAAAAGTTGGGTTATTAACTTGATTTATAGCTCGGGGTGGTAGCGGGGCGGTGGCGATAGGTATGAAATGAAAGATACTTGAAATATCTATAATATTCTAGAAGCAACATATCATGTTTGGTGGCTCTAGCTCTTATTATTTACCCAATTTGCTAAAAAAAACAGGATGTCGATATCGATTTTTTATCGATTGCTTGGAAACGGAGTAAGTTATCGATTATCGGAAATAAACTCGATCTGCGCGGGAACTAGGAGCATCTACATCTAAAATTTCTCTAACTCTTATAGATTCTGAGATCCTTGCGTTCATACATACAGACGGACGGACGGACAGACAGACGGACATGGCTAGATCGACTCGGCTATTGATGCTGATCAAGTATATATATACTTTATGGGGTCGGAGATGCTTCCTTCTGCCTGTTACATACATTTGGACTTCGCACAAATACAATATACCCTTATATCCATTTTTAATGGGTTCAGGGTAAAATAAAAGTAAAATAAAAGTCTTTTACTAAAAGACATTACCCGGTTAGCATATCTAGCATATTTAAAGAACATTTTTTTAAAACATATATTTGCTAGTTTTTTTTTTTTGTATACAATTTTATAGAATTACGCTCATATTTAACTTTCATTTTGATTTCGTTTAAACGCTTTATTTAACAAAGGCAAAGAACCTATCGCTAAAATTAAAACACTTTCAATGTTTGCTGTCAGAGCCCATTTACAATTTCTGTTCGGTTTTGTTTATTATTATTTTTTATACTTTTTGAATGTAATTTTTCGTTAAAAATGTCTGTAATTGGAATTGATGAATTTTGCTGGCCGTTGCATTTATTTGCTTAATTGAGGAGTCGATTGCTTTTTGTATTGATGCATGAATTTCCCAACACTTTTCTTCTACTACAGCCTGCTACTTTTTGCCGCAGTGCAAGGTGCGAGGTGCGAGGTGCAAGCGGTAGGCGCCATAAAATCATTTTTCATCTTAAATGCAATCGCGTTAAATGATTTTTTATAGAAGTGTGCATTTATATATGTTTGCATATGTGTGTGTGTGTCAGCCTTTTGCATATACGTGTATACATTAATTTGTGTTTGTAATTTCCGCCATTGCAAATGGCCGACGGCAGCTGCAATTGCAAGTGCAACTGAAACTGTAAATGTGTGTATGTGTGTGTGGGCTGCTTAATTGCAACTGTTGCATGCGTGTGTGGCAAGTGACAGTGGGGCCGCGCGTGTGTATGTTTGCGTGTGTGCATCCCCCGTACGCAGTGCACTAATTAAATTAATTGCTTAATTTTAACTTAATTTGCCACATGTGGCAAGTTGCGCTCGTTTTGTTGGCCCATTGCTCACGTGCATTTGCTTTTGCCAGCCAATTGCAGCACGTACTCTTTGGATAACCATAAAATTTGGTTTGTTGCCATAACAACTGCGCGTGTGCGTGTGTGTGTGTGGTTGTTTGTGTGTGTGTGCACAAATTGAGGCTTTTTGTATGACAAAACTTCAACTTCTACCTGGTCAACTTTTAAATTTTCCGATGCATGAAAAACATTTACGCCCTGTTGCTGCTGCTGAAAACTGAAAACTGCAACTTTTTCAACATATTCCACAAACTTAACTGTAAGTCTTTATAATATATAAGAATATATATAAATATAATTCAAATATAAATATAATTCAAAGTAATAACGTAATAACCAAGCATTGAATCTGTAGGCCTTAAATCAGATAATAGTCTAGCAGCAAGAAGTCTTAAAAGAGCACACATTCTCGATCTCCAGCATAGTTAAATCAAATAAGTTCAACTTCCTACAATATAGGTATATAATAATAGTTTATCGTACTGGGAACTTTCTATTCCTGGCAAACCAAAATAAATATATATATATAATAATAATTAAATATTTAGCCGAATGAAAAAAATGGGGGAACTTAAATGTTCTTATTCCCTGCGTATTAATAAACCTAAAATGTATTGACTTTGTGAAAATTATATAAATATGCTTTGCTCTCGATACGCATATGAGATGCAATACTCCAATGATTAAAACCATTTTTCATTCATTTATTAAATTGTATTGTATTTATTTTTTCCCTTGACTTTAAGTTTATAGAATGGAGATATGCTGCTTATCCAGTTTTAAATTAAATAATAATAAAATATAATATTTTTAGGAAGAAACTCCATTACTTTTTAAATATCTGGAATGGAGACTAACAGACAGATTTTATTAGATCAATTCGTTTGTTTATGTTGAACGTGATTATATAAACAACTTAGCTCAGATATGTGCATGCTGCCTGTTTTACTTCTTAACACATGTTTATGAAATCCTCTTATCAAATTTTAATGGCACCTTTCTTGCAAATCGCATTTGTTTGGCGCTGCAATTGTTATCTCTTCTTGTGAATCTAGTGTCTGAAAAGCGAAATATTCGTAATCCCTCAAAAGAGACAAAGTTGCCGCTAGGTGCCAGTTCTCTGATTATGCAAATTGACAGCAGCTGCAGCTGCTGTGACAGTTGTGGTTGTTGTTGTTGCTGCTGCTGCTGTTGTCTTGGCTAGCTTCTATTTTCTTTCGTTTTTTTTGGCAACTTGCAACTCTAATTACCTACATTAGGCAACCTGCACAGCACTGCAACTCAATTAGCAAACTGTAAGCGGCACTCTGCAAACTGTGCAACATTGTTGTTGTTGTTGGGGTTGTTGTTGTTTGTTGCATTATTCACGCTATCCTTTGACCTTTTGGCCATAGCCATTGCAGCAGGCAGCTGACGGCAGCAGCTACGTAAATTACACGGCGCTTAAATGCGCTGTTTTGTCAAATTAAACCAAAGCTAAATAAGCCAGCTGGCCAGGCAGAATGAAGACTGGATTGTCACACGGAGGGGGCGAGGGGTTGCTGGCTGGCAGGAAGTTGCAGTTGAGCAGCCTGGCGACAACGGAAGCTGGGCCCAAAAACAACCAACACGCGACAAGAGCAACAACAAAGCAAAGGCAAACTTTTGCCAAGCGGAATTGTAGCAGACACCCAACAACAACAACTAGAACAACAAGAACAACAACAAGGGCAACAACAATTGCGGGTGGGTTTTGGTGGCAACTATAGCGAAAGTGTTGCGGAAGTGCTGCTAAAAGGGTGGCTTTCGGGTTGGGCTTAGGTAGCTGCCGTTATAACGGATGCCGGACGCCATCTTGCAGTTGTGCACAAACATGGCCGCCACTTGGTAGACCATTTTGATTACGGTTATTTTTTCTCACTATTTAAATGTTTGCATCATTATTATTTTATTATTATTTATAAGTGATAATATTTTCATTATGGGTTCGAGCCTTTTTTTAACTTTTGTGGCATTATTATTGTTATCTATATGTGAAACCTTTTTTATTAAGGGCTTTCCTCTCTCTACCTTTATTATTTTTATATTTATATGAAGACTATATTGAATACAGGTTTTCCCTCCCTCTTCAAATGTTTTCATGGCTATTATTATTATTATTATTATTATTATTATTATTATTATTATTATTATTATTATTATTATTATTTTTATTATTATTATTATTATATTATTTTAAATATTTTCATTATATTTTCTCTCTATCGTGCATAGATATGTGTTTACAATGGTATGTGTTATCTGCTAATACATGTCCTCTAGGGTATTCAACCTTCGACATCTACCAGATACCTTGTTAAATTTGCATCTAAATGTTTCTTATCCTCTTTGCATGCCTGGAGGCGTTTATGCGTCCCAGCAACAGCAAAAACTACTCCAATCGCATTTCCATAGCCATTTACAAGCCATATACCCCCTACTCTTTGGCCCACCGCCACGTTGTTCTTATGCAAACAGAGAGAGAGTCCAGCATAATAATTACGCTTCGCTATCAGCGCCGACATTCAGCATGAAAAATTGCCTGGCAACGCCACCTGTTGGGCTACTGCTGGCTAGTACCTCCTGCGTCCTACTAACTAACTGCAGTTGGTTCTGATTCCCAACAACAACAATAACAAACTATGCAAAGCCATAAAACGCAAGTGTCACACGGATTATTCATGAATGGAGCATGCAAATTCAGGAAACGAGCTGCAGGGGGCCCCACATGGAGTCCTATGTAAAGGTTAAAGTTTTTGTGTGCCTAGTGTTGGAAAACGTAAAGAAATTTAAAGATTTTTTCTATCACAGAAAAAAAGATACCAAAACATGATTTGAAATTTCCTTTTTAAGTTATTTTTTGAGCAAGTTCAGGTGCTTAAAAGTCAGAGAGAAACAATTCTCATGGCAAAGAGAGGAAAGTTTATACCTAAAAATAAAATCAATTTTGAGCATTAGATACGATATATTTTACCTATGTTCAATATTCAGAATGCCAAAACTTCCCTCGCATGGCTAAATTTAATATTAACTACAATTTAGGACACGTTTATATGGTACCACTTAGCCCTCATATAATACGAGTATTGTGTCGATAAACTAAAACCTCATCAAAAGATAATATAGATTATAATCGTAGATCTTTGAAGCAACTGAAGCTACTTGGCATCGCCACCGCTTTTATTCTTAATCACCGTTTTTCTGGCCTTTTCGATTTTTTCGTGTCTGTGCCAGTCCGCGACATAATCCTTATTTACCCTGGCAATGCTGGCCAGATAGGCCACATAGTCGACATCGCTGTCGAGTGCCAGAATTTCACCGTAAAGTGAGCTCATCTTCAAGCTGTAGCGGGCCAATGCATCGGGCACCTCGTATTCATTTATTTCCGTCTCATCATAGAACTTTACCAGTACCTTGTGACCCTTGGTAAAGCGTTCGCTGGCACCCGGCGCTTTTAGCTGACGCTGTAGCTCCAGCATATCCTCCTTCACCTGACGCAGTGCATCCATTTTGATCTGCACCTGCTCCTTGAGCAGTTTCGTTATGTCGTGGCACTGTTGCTCCTGGCCCAAAATAAATTCTGATAGTTTCTCGAAGCTGCCATTGATATTCTTCGATTCATCCATAAATTTGCGTATGTCCGTGATGCGCTTCACATCGGGCAAGGCCAAATGATTGTTATTACCGGTTAAGGTAATCAATTCCGGTACTTCCAGACTGGCGGTACCCATGCTTTGAAATCGTATAAATATATTAGTTTCTTTGTTTGTTTCAATAGTTTCAAATAGTTTAATATATTGTTTTATGATTTTTGACTTGAGATTGAGTTTGTTTTTCTATATCTGGCTGCTTCACTTCATACTAAAAGCCTGCTTGACCGCTAAGATTGTTTGAAAAAAAATCTATCCCTTTTTTTACGATTGCTTATATAATATATTAATAGGCATATCATAATATGCATGTGTTTAAGAATTTAAAAGTTAAGATATGCATACTTTAAGTTAATTTAGCTTTTTTTATATAAACAAGAAAGTAAGGATATTAGACACGCCGAAGATTTACCTGTGGCATTGGTACGTTGGTCCGATCCGGTTTCAATATGTGTACTGCCAAAAAGGGATCTACGTAAAGCTTAAAGACGATAGCTTTGAAGCTAAGCGACTCGTTCGCATATAAACAGACAGAGGGATATGGCTATATCGACTCGTCTGTTGATGTTGATCTAGAATATTCGTTACACATTTCATGACAAAATTATAATACCCTCTACAAGAGAATAAAATATAATGTTTTCATTGTCACGATTTACTGTTAGCCCAAAAGTATGCAATACATATATTAAATATATATAAAAATATCTATCTATTCACGAACGATTTCATTCAATATAATCTGTATTTGTGAAATAATAATTTAATAAACCAAGCATTGCTGTGGACACAAATCTGAAAACTGAGATGCCTTATAGTCAATTATAGTTATATAAATATATATTTTCCTATACCCTTGTATGGGGAACTATCCTTTTTAAATAAATTTTGTAACGTTTTGCAAAGGACTTGCTTAGTGCGTAAAATTCAATATAACTGGTGGAAACAATGAGCTGAGTCCTTATATTCAATATCCAACTATACATCTAAATATTATTTGCGAAGTAGCGTCTAAGTAAAGCTATGTAAGGAATACTTGATGCTGCTTTAACTAAAATAATTTTATATAAAAAATGTATTCCGTTTTTTAAATTTATTACTTGTACCTTTACCAAAACATGCCTTTTCAATCTGTTAATAAGAATTAAATAATGCATTTTATAGTTTAAAAAATATTATATCGTTTCTCTCTCATTATCAATGTGTTCAGGCTTAGTTTTTAAAATTCGAAACATCCTAGAAAATATTTGACATTTGACAGTATCTTTACAGTCATGAGTTTCATAAGCATTTAACTGAAATGTCTATTTATTTTAAATTATATTAAATGCTTTGGAGAGAATTAATGCTTCGTTCATTTACTCTTGAACATTTCTATTAGTTGCTTTCGTGCTTGTCGCCAAATTAAATTAAATACTAAAATCAATAAGCAAATATTCATTTTGTATTCAGCCACTTGATTGTTTCACCACAAAAAAAGCTATCTATGTCAGTTATCATCGATTGCATTTCAATTTTTTGTGCTTATCTGTTTTTTGAATATGTATATATATATATATTTGCTGGCACTTTGACAGAGTTTTATTTTTGGTATGCACTAAAAGTCAATTTATGCAGTTGATTTAATTTGATTTTGGCCACTAAATCAGAGAATTGAATACTTTTAGCCATTGGGCTTGCGGCTAACTGCGTATTTGAATGCTCTACTAAGTTGTGCATTTGTGTGTGGAATGTGTGCGTATCGCATGCCTTAATTATTAGAAAGTTAATTATTAAATCAACTTATGCAAAGACAACCCTCTGATGTAAAAAACAAAACTTTTTGTTTAACACTGATTCGTTGACTAATTCGTTTTCAACGCATAGTCCAAAGCGTCGAACTAATAAGCGAGAAGTGGCTGGCTCTAATCGATTCAGACCAAAACGTCTGAGCATCGAACTAATAAAAAAGAGGAAACTGGCTCAAATCCAGCAAAAATGTGTATGCCTATTTATTTAATTTGTTATTATTTATTTAGAGAGTGCATTAATAGAAAATAAAAATAAAAATGGAAGCGAATATGACTTCATGTATGGAAGTTGTTATGCCTTGTAGTGTAGGGTATTTCCATGTATGGAAAAGTGAGTAATCGTACGTGTGGAAATGAAGCTGGCACTGATTGCTGCATAAATGATTGAAAATGTGTGGGCGGCTGGTGGCTTAAGGGGCGTAAAAGGATTGGCTGTCTGCTGCTTCGATTGGCGGATCGAATGTGTTCTTGCCACTAAAAGCTGCTGCTGCTGCTGCTGCTGCTGCTGCTCCACAGCTGCTATCAGCATGCCGCATTCTTGCATGCAACAAAAGGTTCACATACGGCAAACTGACATCACAGGAAGCTGGGAGAACCATTTCGCATTATATGAAAATTGATGGAAAATGCCAAAATATTTAAATCTAATTTCTGTGGCAGAGTGTGAGAGAGACAGAGAGACTGAAGAGTGGGGGGAGCCTGGTGTAGGGCCTGTGGCCAGACCGGCTGCCAGTCGATTTTTAGCCAACAATTTAAATATGCAGTCGAGTGCGGCGCTGACGCTTATTTTTAGCAGACACAATAGAGAAGACAAAGCGAATGCACAATAAATCACCAAAAAGCGCAGCGAGAGTGTCAACTGTAAAAAAAAAGGAAAAGAAAAAGCTAAATAGAAGAAAAATCAAGGAAAATGCGTAAAAGTGAAAGAGGCAGCAGACAGCAAACTGCAGAAGAATCGTTCGTCAGCGTCAGCGAAAGCAAAAACCAAATCATTTAATTGAATTATACGCGATAAAATTGCAATTTATTTTGAGAGCGGGGCCCAAGTAGCAGCCAGTCGCAGTCAGTGGCAGCAATGTTGTCGTTGTCCTTTCCACAGCGACGACAGCAACAGCCGCAATCAGCAGCAGCCGCAGCAGCAGCAGCAGCAACTTGCTTGCTGCAACATACAAAAGTTGCATGCCAGATTTGCCCCCAATGTCCCGTTAAAGCGAAATGCGTATTATTAGCAACGCTCGGCATATCTATGCCATCTATCTTCATGCTGTTGCTGTTGCAGTTGCACTTTGCATGGCCAAGCCCTAGCCAGCTCTGTGGCTTTCATTAGCCCAAACCCAAGTGCATTGTTCTTATGCATTGAACATAGCTCGAGTTGCATTTCTCTCTGTGCATGTGTGTGTGTGTGTTCTGCATCACAAATTAATTGCATATTATGTGGCACTTTGTTGCTAACTATAATGTTCCTTAGCGAATATTATTAGACTCGACCTTAGAGACATATTAAGTGCCCGAGAAATTTCCTACAATTGCAGCCTATACTATAATTTTGAGCTAAAACGAGTTAGATTTATGTAAGAGCAGCTGAACCGGAAACGAAATTCAGATTGTTCAAAAAAGATTGACTTTAAGATGTTATTTATTTTTTAGTATGTATTATTGAAGGACTTTTTTAACCATAGTTTCAGGACAAACTTGAATTTCTAAAATAAATTGTACAAGAATTTTAAGTATTTGTATTTATGCTATGCACAATCCTTTTCGCGTGCTTTGTAAAAATTATAATAGTTTGCATCACGTTTTCTCTACCGAACTGTCTCTACCCCTAATAAAATCGTTGCTTTCAGCATACCTTCTAAAAGTCGCTGACCATTCCCAGCTATGAGCAGGGGCATAGCTTGCCGGACAGGCTGAAAAATTTTCCCCCACCGGGTCGGTGATTTCCCATTACTTTTCTCTCCGTCCTATCTACTTAACACTCTTTATCTAACTTACATTGCTTTACTTTATTAACAATCTTCTTACTTTCATTTTTCCTATTTATTGTATTTTCTTTATTAATATAGCAAATTAAGATTATTTTAATGTTACTTGAAAACACTTTTTTCCTACTTACAACCTTCTGCTTAGATGTAGGCTCTAATAGCGTCACTGACAAAATTAGCTGTGAAAAGGGGCACAGCTGGCCGGACTGGCAAATAAAACACCTCCATCGGTCGGTGATGCTATTTAGAAAATTGTATCCTTTAACTAGGCTTTTAGCATAAAATTCTATTGTATAATCTATTGAATAATGAGGAAGACACTCGTTTTGTCGACCATTAATAAATAAATAAATACACGAATTTAAAAGATCAGATTAACCTCAACCGAAATACAAATTATGTAAAAAAAAACTTAAAAAAGATTTGATGTAAAATATTTTGTTATTTTTAATTTAATTTGAAAGACTAACTAAAGACCTAATTCAATAAATAATTTTTTTTTTAATTCCTAAAATTAAAGATGCAATAAATTTAAGATGAACCGATTGAGATCTATGTAAGATTAGCTTAACCTAAATGCAAAAACGATTTGATAACAAATTAAATTTTGAGAGAATTTTAAATGTTTGAAATAAATAATATGTAAATATTATGAATGTCAAGTATATATAAATTGCATAGTTCAATTATAAATTAAAGAAAATTTGATGAACCTAGTTTCGAATTCGAATTTCAGTTCACAGGTGTGAAAAATCTGGTTCATGCACCGAATCTTAAGGAGAGGCATTGGTTTAAACAGGTTAAATGATGTTTGGGGTAATGCAAAGCAACTTTTTCAGACCGTAAGCTGCCTTCATAGAAGAAACCTTGTCTGGAGTCTTCTATTAGCTACAGACTTGGCTATACATATGTATAAAGAATAAGTATAGTCGGAATCGGAGTAGTATAAAGTATAAGTATGTTAGAATCGGCTAGCTCGCATCACACTCGTTATATAGGCAATACAAAATGCCCAAATATAGTATTATATCTAATATCAATGGTATTTAAGCTAAACGAAACGAGCGTTAAGTAAAAAAATAATAGAGGATTTGCTCTCGCTTTGTAAAACAAGCTTAAAACTTAACTCCGCATTTTAATTTAAATTTCCATTTTTTAATTAAAAATTGATTTTAGTTGTATGCCACGATATCGTTTTGTAAGAGTGGCTAAAAGTACTTAGCTTAACTATTTTGCAATAGTTTCCCTTAAAGTTGATCGAAGAAACTTTCGCTGCATTTACTTTTACGCTGTTTCACTCCGCCCACTTTTCAAGCCCATTCAAATAGAGAACTGAGAATCAAATTTAAATACCAGCGAATTGTGTAACTTGGCACTCGTCTTCCTTCTTCTTTTTTTTTTGTCAGTTTCCTCCAACTCTCGTTTTCTCCCCCTCCAACACTATCTGTTACCGCCCTTCTTTGTCTCTGTTGTTGTAACTTTGCTGTCCACATTGCTGTTTCCGTGTTTCTTGCCGTGTTGCTGTGTTGGCATTTCATTTAGTGCACAACTTCACATTTGCGTTGCCTGCAATTGCCATTTCCGTTTCCTGAAATTTGCCACTCGTTACACACACACACACACACACACACACACACACACACACACACACACACACACGCGCGCAGAGAGCACGTAGGGGGGCAAGTAGACGGCAGCAATCTACCAGGCAACCGACATTTTCATTTCCATGCTTGGGCGCTTCGCACGAATCAATTATTCATCATCATCGATTAAGTAAGAGCAGCTACCCCCACTTTCCGCGCACCGCCCACCTCTGGCCGCCTGTCTCGTTTTTATTGTTATGATTTTTGCCGCCTGTAATGGCCTTCTCTTGAAGGACTTTGGCCAGCTCGCGCACAGGCGCCGCGAAATCCCGTTTAATGATACCAACCAAAAGCCGAGATTTATATTCATTGCATACTATACACTTGAGAAAAAATAATGTTTCAAAATTTTAGGAAGCTAATCAAAGTCATCTCATATTTAGAAAAAAATACAACAAATTTTAGCTTTTAAACATATATTTTACATATATATATATATACATATATATATATATACTATTAAACTAATTTTTAAAATAAAATTTCTAAAGATATATGGCTTTTTTTAATATTTACTTGTAAATTAAAAATATTTTATTAATATTTGCTTTTTATAGAAAATTATTTTTTAAAAATATAATTTATATATTCTATATTTTTATATACATTTTGTGGTCTTTAGAAAATAAAATTTTGATATTTAGAAAGTTTTTCTTCATTTAAAAAAGATTTTTCTCAATTTAGGAACATGATTCCGCTATTTTTTCTACAAAAATGTTTCAATTTCTGGCTGCGTTTTACTTTTCTGAGTGTAGGAAACAGAGTACTATATATGTATATGCCATATATGCGGCATATGTGCAACTCATATAGATATCTATGCGATACAATACAATACATCCATTGACAATGTCAGTACGTTTGTATCTATATATATATATATATATATATATATATATATATATATATATATACATACATATACATATATGTATGTATGTAAAATGTCTGGCGAGTCCTGTTTCTCTGTTGTTTGGGCCTCTGCTTATTTTGCGCTGTTATCCATTAAATATTTATGAAAATTGCTTTTGCTGCAGTTTTATACACTCCGTTGTCCTTGTCGAGGAGGTCCTTGCTTTGCATGCGCTGCTTTTTGGGCCTGCTTCAGGGGAGGCAGCTGTAAGAGATGGTAGGGGAAGGGGGGTGCACAGGCCAGTAAAACAATAAAGCTTAAGAATTCAATTTCCTAAGAGCTTAAAGCTGCCACATCCTGTTCTTCCTTTTAATGTTTTGCATGTATGTGAGTGTGTGTTTCTGTTTGTGTGTGTGTATTTGATTCTTAGCACACATAAATCCTGGCAAGACATGCGCCTAGATAATCCCACATTATGAAAAGATATGTTACAATAAATATTTTCGCATCAATAGCGAACATTTTGAACAGCACATCATTAAACAGAGAGAACAAAATAATTCTCATCATGATTTATGTGGCAGGGTTAGCAGGGTTTAAATAATATATATATGCTTAAATCCAAGCAAAACTCAGCGAGACAAAACTTTGAAGTGCAATTGAAAGCAAAAGTGGGCCCTAAGAAAGCGAAATGCACAAGAAAACGAAAGGGAAATTACATTAAATGTTGCGGAATATACACTGATAATATAAGTTTAATTAGATGGATACTTAGTACCAACAATATTTGAAGAACAAGCTACATTTGGGGGAACAGCAACCGATGGGTAATTTAGTCCGCTCAAGAGAGCTGTCCGCCTATCAGAGGGGCAATAAATGGGGAAGGGCGATTTATATGATACACACATCAGATCTTTTGTTTGTAGTTTTTAACAAACAGTAAAAACTCTTGATTTTTATCAAGGGTGATAAGATGTATTAATATTTGAAAGGATCCCCAATTGCTAAAAAAATTAAAATGACATAAAACATACCTTAGTATATCAAGGATGTTTGTGTAAAAGCTTCAATTATTGAAAGTTAATTAACAAGGCAGAAAAGAACCAAAGTATAGCAATTATTCATACCTTATAAATTATATTAACAAATTATAAGAAGTCACAATTTGGAAAAACGCTGAAACATGTATTTATTAATTTCTTACTACTTCAACGTACCTTAGAATAAGCCGAGTTCCTTTTCACATAATTACAGCTGCATATCTCCAGATTGATTTATAGTTTTCAAAATATCAGCTTCAGTCGCTTAAAAGCCTCTTTTTGCCGTCATATATCGTAGTTGTCCCTGAACATCTCAGTTTCAGTTTGAATGCGAACTAAACTTGTCCCAGCCACGTATTTGCTATAAAATCACTCACGACATTTGGACCACAAGCAATTGTTTGTTTTTAGGTATTTTGCCCAGCTACACGTAGCTGAGCTGTAAATTTCAATTGAAATTTAAAGCTTTGAAAACACACCTGAGCTGAGTTTATGGCAGGCTAGTGTCCTGATTGAAATGGACCGTGGCAGGTGTGGGGAGCTGGCCGGGGGCAGGTGTGGAGCAGCTTTGGGGCAGGTTTTTCCTGCCAGAAGCTGCACTCATTAGTTGCATGTTCGTGTGCTTAAATCATTTAGAGCTAGACCACACGCCCACAATTCCACACGCCCCCACGCCCACTAAAGACTTGAGCACTTCATGTATTTGCAATATAAATTTGTTAGGTTTTGCTTTTTTTGGCGTTTAATTTTCTTCAGTTTTCTTCTTGGCGGGGGAAATTGCGCATCATAAATTCTTGTGAGGATTTTGGGTACATTTTGAGTAACGGTACTTAATAAACTCGCATCATTTTCCCATTTGGCGCTCGCACTTCATTTCTTGTCTTCCTGCCACGCCGCCCCGTAACCTCTGCCGCCGCCCCCTGCCAATGCTGTTGCTCCTGTTGTTGCCCCAAATTACCTGTCATTTCGAAATTATGATACCAGAATCGTTGCCTCTGCCGTTGACGTTGCTTTCCGGCATCCTTCCTACCTCTCAGGGGATTTTTTATTTTTTTTATTATATGTTTCATGTGGGGTAGCGGGCGGTAGGGCACCTAATTTTATATGCCTCGCGCATATAACTCAAACTAATGCCGCCTGCGGCTGTATCGCAAAACCTTATGCGCATTTTCCGATTGTAATCTGTAAGCAACATACTTAACCGTTAATAAACGTTCGGCTCGGCAGTCGCTCCCCTCACCCAAACTGAAAATACCTAGTCAGCTATATAGTTGTATATCCTTATATATCGCTCATTTGATATGACAAGCTGACAACTTGATGACATCGCCTTGAAGTGGACATTTTTGAAAAATGCCAAGAGAGCGGGGGAAGAAGCAAAAACATAATATGTGAAGTATCTGTTGATGGCAAAAGTTAATATTGGGATTTGCTTGACTTCAAACTGACAGCTGCCCATGCCGAAGAATAACTAAAGCAATATGGAGGCTTGCGAGCGAAGCAAATGCCATAAATAGAAATGCTTTCATATATAAGCTCTTGTGGATTTTCGATTGCTTTGATTAGCTTAACTAAACAGTTTGGCCAAAAGCTAAGGAACTGGGTTAGACATAAAAGAAATGCCTCGAAAAAACAACACTATAACTACAGGCCGAATATGAAATACCCTTGCAGGCATATGGCACACGGCTGGCGCAGATATGTGAGCAGCACTGTGACGCTCGCAATTGCAGAGTTTTGGTGAAGATATCTTGAAAAACAGAAAAGTTTGCCATACAAAATCAGATATTGCGAACATTTTTTGCTAGAAATATACATGGCACAGTAGGCAGATGTTGAAAAGATATGACTTGTATATAAGGAGCACGGTGAAACTAATAAAAGCCGGGTTTTTCAGGCAAGAAACGACTCTGATCAATTATTTCTAATTTAGCTATATAATAAAGAGGTCCGATCAGGAGGCCGCCACCCATATATGTATTGCCTGAACATTAAAGACCATGTTAATGCTGATCAAGAATATTAATACTTGGTTAAAGATATATACCGTGGGGTCGAAGATGTTTTTCTATAAATTCGTTGTTTGGTCCAAGATATCTCCTTCTTCATAGAGTCGAAGATGTCTCATCCTATGAATTATTTCTTTGGTTGAAAGATTTCTCCTTTTCATATATAAACTTTTATATACTTAAGTCGAGTACGTCTTTATGCTTAATATTATCATACCCTTGTTCTATGACAGAAGTACGAAGAGCCCATTAATACATACTCTTATCAAGATGAGCTCAAAATTGAGAAATACCAATGGCTAGTCGGCGACTTCCCGCTTCAAAAATATGCAACACAAACAATTATCAACATTCTACAAAGTAGATTTTAATAAACCTACACGAATTTCGTTACATGCAAGCCGAAATAAAAAAAAACCAACAATTTCGCATAGAATGCTCTTAAGAGCTAAACAACTTCTCAATACCTTGCGACAGGGCGCGAAAACTACGCCCCAAACGCCTCAGCAGCAGCACGCTACAGATGAAGATCATGCTACACTTCATGAACTCTCCGGCAGTGGGATCGTTGCATAGAAAGTAGAACCAGTGTTTGGGTCGCAGGCGATACCATGGTAACATTTTAATTTATTTATTTGATGAAAAAATTTGAAACGGTTTTCTGCAGTTGAAATAACTTGAATTTATATGGAAAACGATGGGTTTACAGACTTACCACAATGTATTTAATACTTAGAGCTTTTCAAAACTTTAATAGGTTCAGGCATACATTAAATTTGATGTAAGAAAATTTGAACACTGGGTTTTCAGGCTCTCAACATTTTGAGTTGTTTTGCAAATACGATAATATTGTAAGATTTAACTATCCGAAAAAAGTTTAAGCCTAAGCACTGTGTTTGCTTTAAGCAAAGTATTTACAAAACATGGTGCTAAGAGAAAAGAGAAATTGATGAATTTCCGAAGAGGAAATTCAATAAAGCACATTGTAGACTGCTTTGAGCAAAACAGAACAGGAAACAAAAGGGAGTACAAGTTCTTGAAAACATCTAAAAATGTTTACAAACACGAATGCAAAGAGGATAGAGAAATTGATAGTTCTGAGGAGAAAATTCAGTAAAGCACATTTTATACCACTTTAAGCAAAATGTTAACGAACTGGAAAGAAAGAGGAACTGGCTACTGAGAGTGGGATATGATTGTCGCCTTATCTTTTTGTCGCATTCGTAAACGTTTTACTGGCAGCATGTGTACACAATCTATGTACAATTGCTCGTGCGATGGTATTGTAATATAAATTTATAAAAATAATTATATCTGTGCTAGTATATCTTTTTTTTTTGTAGTTCATATGATAACAATCAAGTAAAACGCATGTTTATGCAAATATTTTGTTGTCAGTCACTTGCATTTTCGACAAAAGAATTTGGCTTTTCTTACAATTTCGATGGCAAGCAACCGTATCGAAGACATTTTGCCAAGCATGACAAACAAATGTGCGAGAACCCCCCTCAAAAAGACAAATGTCGAGCGTTTGATATGCTCAGAAAGCTGGCACTCAAAAGTGTTGATTTAAAATGTTCAACAAACTTGTTAATTAGCAAAAAATACGTGAATTTATTATATAAAATGACCAAAGCATAAGACTAGAGTCAAAGGAATTTCATAGAATATAATACTAGACAAATTTTAAGAGTTAATACAAAATAATTGATTATGATTATTATTTAATGGAGCTGCTGAAGTTCTTCTCATTGCTCAAGCACTGATTGCAAATGGTGCAGAAGATTTGCTGTAAATACAAAATTATTATTTACCGCTCTATGTTCGAAAGTTTTGATCTTACAGGAATGGAGGAGGAACGCGCTATCGAGCCGCCCGCTTGCGAGGAGCCCGTGCACTCGAAATGCCGCAGCCAGGATTTGATGACATTTGTGGGGGGTATCTGATAAATGCTAAACTGTTTCTTAAACATTCGCTGTGCTGTGCTTATGGAATCGTTATTTCTATAATAGGCGCGAATTATGAACGCCCGATGCACGCCCGTCCACTGATCCATTGCGACTGGCAATACCAAGTTCTACGGCTATGCAATATTTTTGCTTGAACTGCAAACCTTGACGGCATTTCCGGTTCATGAGTGACATTAAAAAAGTGCAGAAATATGAATATTTCTCAACAAAAATTTAATTGGTCATCTGCAGCGTCAGATGCGTTTATTCTAAATTTATAACGCGCGGCTTACGCGACGTATGAGCAATGCGCGATTCTGTATTTAATTTTTTTTTTTGGGAAATTTTTGTGGGCGTCTTTTCAATTTTTAAGTGCAAATTGTAAATAGTCTTTTTGCTCCGCCCCCTGCTCAATCTCTCTGTCTGCCCATCAATCAATCTAACAAAGTCATCATCATTACGCTTCATCAGCACACACCCATCAAAGGTGGGGGGTGGTGGGAGGCGTGGCATCTAAATCTACAAACTTGAACTCATTTAAAGTTTCGCTACAACTTAAATCCTCTTTGGCATTTGGCCATCATGTCAGTAGTTGGCCATCGCCAAAGTCTTTAAGCGTTTTCTCTTTTTTTTTTTTTTTGTTGTTGTCATTCTTTGTGTATATACCCTATATTATGGGGTGGCTAACAAAAAGATTGATGAGCTGTTGAGGTTATTTTTACCAAAAAAATTAAGTAACTAAGGTAAATAATTTATTGAGCTCTAGCCACATTTTTTTGTCTAACTGTTATAGCCCCTAAAGATTTATAGAGTGCATTTTAACTGCATAAATAGGGCTTGAATAAAATATACCTTGGATTGTATGTTTTTAGAAAGTTTTAAGATCTATATCGATGAGCTTTATTTGAAATTTCGAATTCGCTTCAATCTTTTATATATTCTGTTATCGTCACACTGTTAACTTTTACGTAACATAGGCAACATTTACATTTTCTTTGTTGATTTTTTCTTGAATACTCTCTACAATAGATTATATATTGTATAAATTTGTTAGAGTTTTTAAGATCTATAATGATACGTTTTATTTAAAAATTTGCATCTAATATATCATTCAAAACTCGCTACATACAGTTCTCTATTCTGTTAAAATCACTGTTAACTTTTGCATAACATGAGCAACATTTACATATCTTTAACATGAAAAACATGTATGTTATTCCAAGAGCTGTTAATGCCTGCTTAAAGCTGAAAGGTCATAGAAATAAGCACAGGAATTCCTGATTCACTTATTTGCAATAATTTAAAAACTTATTACACTCTCAACTTTATCATTATCATTATCATATTAACATAATTCATAATAAAAATTTTGAATACTTATGTGAGAGCATTTGTGATTCGTCTTGCCACATGAAAAAAAGTCATTTTTAGCTCTGGCTTCGGTTTTCTCATTCATTCTCTTTTTATTCCGCCATTTTGCTGGACCATCGAGCACGTATCTGCAATACAATGCACGGAGCCAGCGTATAGATACATAGATACAGATACAATTATGTAGTCTCTGTTGTTGCAGCACGAGTGTTTGTTATTGTTTTTTTTTTTTACTGTTTTTGTTGTTGTTTATTTTTTCTTTTGTTTATGGTGCAAGTTAGCAAATGCTGCTGTCGTTTTGGCGTTTATACAGTTAGCCAGACAGACAGCCAGTCCGGGGCCCAGCTCCCATCCTATCAACTGCAGCACAGCTATCCATCCATCCACAGCACGTCCAACCAGGCAGGCGTCCATTCGGGCGTGTGTGTGAGCGCGCGCGAGGCCTTTTCCTTCTCTTCTCCCATTTTCATTTTTTTTTTTTGCTGGTGTCTGCCTGTCATTTTGACACCTTCATTTGCTGCGAACATTCAGCCAGCGTCAGAGTCAGAGTCAGGTCCGTGATTCTGTTAACTTTCTTTTTTTTTCGTTGGTAGAATTGTGTGTGTTGCTGTTTGTGTGTGTGCGTGTATTTGAGAGTGTAATTTTGGGTGAAATTTCTTTTAAAGTTTTTTTGTGCCCTGCATGATTTTTGTTTTCGTTGCATTTTTAAGTTTGGATAATACCCTGCAATAACTCAACCTCTATGTTGATAATTATATATGTAATATCTATATTAATCCACATTTTCTATAAATTATAATATTACATATTAATCTACTATTATTTTCAACATTATTTATTAGTAAATAAAATTGTTTGAATTATTAAAATTAAAAATGAAACAATTTTGTTGTAATATATTTTGTTGCTACTTGTTTTATTTAAATTTTTTTTATTTTTAATATATTTGTTCTATTTATTCTATTTTAATTATATTTTTAATGTATATTATGTATGTTATTTTTTTGCCTATGATCGACCGGCAATTTTGACTATAACATGACAGGCATGATATATATATAGTCACGTTTTATCAAATGGACAAAGTTGAAGTTAAATTTATTTTCTATATTTCTTTTATATTTCTGTTGTCCCTCACAAAACTTCGAGTTCTTTAACTATATTTGACCTCTAATTGTTTTCAATTTCATTGTACAATTTATATCTGTACTGAATAAAATATAATATAATATTGATATTTATTTATTATTTATATTATTTATTATTTTTATTAAAGGTCCTGAAAGCAAATATCCTATTATGGACAGTCTTTGTTAAGTGAAGAATATGCAGATATAAATATTTTATAATTATGATGAGTTTTTTTTAATAATATTTTTATGAGTCTGACTAAAATTTTAAAAGCAGCGTCTAAATATTTTTCATTAAAAGATATAAGGATTAATACGAAAAATATTGTCTCTCAATTAGAGCTTATATATATAATATATATAATTTTATAATTAATATTAAGATAATATTTCTTTATTTTTTTACATTTTTGTTTTTAATGATAATCTCTTTCTATATGCTTTTTTTTAGCATGCTTTATTTACCCTAAAAAGTGTAATTCTTTTTGTTTTTATTCTCCTTCGCATCCCATTTTAAACGATTCCTAATACCTATTGACTCACCCAAATGCTTTTGTCTGTTTATTCAAATGCCGCTGCTTAACTAACTTTAAAACTTACCAAACTGGCAAGTACTATTTGCATGCTTTCATTTTTGCTTTGCTTTGGCTTTTGATTTTGCCAACTTGACTGTCATATAAGCTGCCTAAACCCATAAGCCCCATTGCAGCATTACGTTGCCGAAACTTTCATGCAACAGCAGCAGCAGCGGCAGCGGCAGCAACAGCGGCAATAAAAAGCTGCAGGAAAAAGAAATCTGTAAAAGGCAACAATGCCAAGACAAATGATCCAATGGCTGTCTGACTGCACTTTAGCCATGCCACCCCCACATATTCCTTGCACAGCAAGGAGTCCAGCACCAAAAAGGCAAAATAAAAAACGAAATATAGTCAAATATATTTGGTTATGTGTGACTGAGTGTGCGTGTGTGTATAGCGGGGGCAAAGCTGTCTCAATTTTTGGGTTAGCGCACATTTCTGCATGTAAAGTTGGCGGATTTTTCACCCAATTCTTAAGAATTTTCGTTTGCCTTATACCCTATATACAACAAATGGTTTAAGAGTATATCCTAAAGTTGGGCAAATAGTCAAATCAAGCTCATAAAAGCCCTTAATGGTTATTTAAAGTACTGTAGATTACCAAAAATAATGGAGCTGATATTTTTCTGCATTTTTTTTTCCGGTTTATAAGAGCTAGAGACATAATACTTGGTATGTGGGATCTATGCTATATATAGTTCACATATATTTAAAATTTAGACATTTATCCAGTTTTTTTCTGTTATATATATACGACTTTCTCCGTTATTCTCCTCCCATTGAACTCAAGTATATTT